CACCTGATTTATGGTGTTCTTCATTTACTTTACTCATTCTCTCTCTCTCTCTATCCCTCCCTCTCTTTTTCTTTCTCTCTCTCTCTCCTTCAGATTCAGCGTATTCCTCCATTAGAGAGCAGTATGATTGCACTGGAGACATTGCTGGGTCAAGATGAGACCATTTCTGTTGAAGAGTTGTTAGACAGTGAGTGATGTCATAATATGATGTAATGTGATGTCATGTTGTGTCTATTTATAGATCCGTCTGATTCTCCTGTGCTGGTCAATGGACGTGCAGTAATGGAAAAAAGACTTAAAATGTTTTAACTTGTAGCACATTATTATTATTATTAACGAAAACATCCAAGTATTAAATACAAGTTTAGGTTTAAAAGTTTTTTGAATTTAAACTTTTAATTTAAAAGTTTTTGAAATGGACTTCTTGCCCTTCACTACACTTGCAACTCCAGCTCCCATTTCCATAGCTGCAAAACTCCTACAACCATCACTCCAGGTACAGCTCCACTTACTGAACTGATTCCGCAGTACCAATATTAGCACTTGCTTCAATTCCAGCAGTCACTTTGCCAAGAATAGTCCTGACAGTTCCTCCTACTACCAATGTATCAATGATGGTATTTCTTATAGAGCAAACAGATATAATTTTGCTTCAGGTTTGCATCGCAGCTCACATAGTTCCAAAGATCAACAACCCAGTTATCACTTGTAGGTATGTAGCTCCTTTTGCACACTGTTCCCACTCTTTCTCATTCCACACATTATGCAGCTTGGTACTCTGTCAGCAACTTTGTCACTGGTACTATTTTTCTTCATTGCATCTTGAATAGATGTTGAATTTCATTTTGCTGCGCTTTGATTCCTTTTTTATATCTTTCCTTGATTCATTTGTCGATCGTCCTTTTCTGTCAAACTCTGGTTCACATCTCATTTGGTAATTATCATGCACCAAAAGTAAAGATGAGAATAAACAGATTAATCAAATCGTTGCCCATTCTGTCCCTCAATCCTATCATACAGCTTGTGACATATAAGTACAATATGTATACGGTCACAGTCTTGATTTTAGTAATAGACTTAATTATACTCTGGTCTGTTACTGACAAAATGACTAAATCCCAGTGTATTGTATATCTTAAAATATACGCCCCCCACTTTGCAACTGTTCTCTTCAATTGGATCATGACAAGTTTGAATATTTGGTTTACCAATTGTTGCTGCATCCTTCCCCAGCATTTTATATGTCAATGAAGACTTTCTCCTTCCATTGTGACCAATGAAAAGTATCTTTATTTTTGGTTGGTTTTATGAGTTTTCAGGTTGTAGTAATGCATCTTGATCTAGATAGAGAAGACCTACATGTAGATCTAGGCCCAGATCTTACACCTTGATCTATTGTGGTTGAGAAAGAATTGCCATTATGATTATACCTGGGCATTAATGCATAATTATCATTATGATTATGACTTACCAGTAAAATTACAACGTTCAACTGTCCATGATTATCATGTGAGCACTTTATTTTAAAAATACAAAATTTTAAATAGCACTTGAAAATTCAACATACACAATATCTGGTTAAATAATTTATTCTCATTAACTACAAAAGGTTTACAAGTTTTTTCTCTTCTGGCCCTTCTGGCATAACACATGCAACTTGAATTCCAATTCCTATTATTGCAACTGCAGCACTAAAAATCCGCCCAACCTTTCCTCCAACAAAAAGTCCTCCAACAAAAATTCCTCCAACAAAAAATCCACCAACAGCAGCTCCAGCTACTGTACTAATTCCTGGTGTCATAACAGGAGCAACTATAGTGGTTTTAATTTCTGAAATGGCACCCACCGGTATTAATCTTTCTAAAATAGTAGATTTTGCTGAACGAACAAATGGTCTTGCTTCAGGTTTGCATCGCTGCTCACATAAATCCCAAAGGTCTTTAATCCAGTTATCACTTATAGGCAACTCCTTTTGCTTACCATTCTTTTTTCTTTTTCCACAAGTTACACAACTAGGTATTTTGTTAGCAACTGTGTGCTTGATACCTATCATTTTTAACACTTCTTTTAACCTACATTCCATTTTTGCTTGCAGTGTCACTAATCCATCTTTAATTTCCTCCTTTGATTCTTGTGTCAATCTACCATCATTAGTATACTCTGGTTCACATCTCATTTGGTATTCATCACCAAAAGTAAAGACTAGAACAGACAAATCAATCAAATCGTTTCCAATGATGTCAACAAGGACCTTAAGCTTTTTCACAGTTGCATCATCAATCCTATCATATAGCTTGTGACATATTAGCACTATGTCTACGGTCTTGATTTTAGCAATAGACTCCATCGTCTTCTTCTCTGTTATTGAAGGGTCACCAAATCCTATTGTATTGTATACTGTAACTTCTACTTCTCCAACTTTACAGCTGAGCTCTTCAATTAGATTGTATTGAGTTTCATGATCTGGTTTACCAACTGTTGCTATATTTATCCCCAGCATTTCATTTATCAATGAAGATTTTCCACTTTCATTCTGACCAAGAACAAGTATCTTCATCTTAATATTACTTTTACATGGTGTTGCATAGTTTTCTATGCATAAAA